GAGTTTACATGTAGCCAGAAAATTCACCAGCATGACCCCTCCTTCAAACCCCTATGGGTAAGGTGCTCCAAAATGCATACTTAGATAAGTATCGACTTACTCGACACTAGTTATATCAATGTTAGTATCGCAATACAAGATACAAAATAATACAATACAATTGTATCTAAGATACGTAATGTGCCCAACCCTTTTTCCGCAGAATAATATTATGAATATTATTGTTAACCGGATGTGGACACTTAAAACTTAAAAAACTATGATATATTAAATTATATAAGGAAAAAAAAACTTTATTACCTACGTGCATTATTGCGTATAAGTTATAGGTAATCGTTTCATCATTATGTTTAAACCGATAGAAGCACCTGTACCCATACACACAGTTCACACTACACAGCCATGAATTGAAATGTTATCACAGTTCACTGTATTCCACTACTATAATTAAACCTAATAATATAACATATTATAATATAAGTAGGTACGATAATTATTATTGTTGATTTCACAAACGTATATTATAATGAATAAGGAAAATTATAAAATCGATACAATTTATACGTATCGATGCAGTGAGAAAATTTTGATACTCTACACACGTAATATTCGACTGAAACTTATGTTGAATATTATGATTTATTTGACTGAATTTTCATACACAAACGATAATAATTTTTTTTTTAAATATTAAAAATAAAAAATACGGATATACTTCGAACAATCGCGCGATAGGTGAGCCACTATCATAGATAAGAAATTCGAAAGGAAGGATATAGAGGGGAATTTGATGTATATCTGTACGGTATAATCTTTCCTAATAAAAAATGATTCTGAGCGGAGTTTAGTTATACATTTTTTAAATGGCTGTAATATTTACAATTCGAAAATAATACATTTCGTAAATTTTCCCGTTATTCCTACGTTTTTTCCCATTTATTATTAAAAAAAACCTAGGAAAATCAAAAATTGACCTCCACCCCAGTTAGGTTTTCTTTTAGAAAAAGTACTATACTTTAAAATCGGGACAAAATTGGTAGTAGAAAAGTGTGCTACAGAAAAATTAAATAAATATCATTGTAAAACCAATACATTTCTCGCTCCGTTCGGAATCTAAAATAAATAGCGAACGTTAAATATCTCAGAAATCAGTAGTATTAATAATGTAGGCTGACATTTTAGACTTTTGATTGTTACACTTACAAAAACAGTGATTATCAGAACATTTTGTTATTACTATTATTTTTCATATGACTGCCTATATTTTAAATTTAAAACTTTCTTTAATTTTTACTAGAAAAATCAATAATGTAATGTGTTGATACAGTTAATATAGGTAGGTAAATATAATAGTTAATATGTCAAAAAAACCTGAACGTGTAACATTTCCTTATTAAAAACAGAATCTATATCCGAGCCACTAAAATGTTAAGGTTTTTCTATTTGACGTATTGGGGAGATCGTTTTTTGATTTCAAAAAAGTCTTCATAATTATTGGAAAAAATCAGAAAAACGGAAAATATTAACGGCTCACCACGGCGCTACCAATTTCATTGTTTTTAATTTGCACGCACTATATTTTCTATCAGACATCTTGATTCCATCAAAAAAATTCCATCAAAGTTATTCGTTTCATTAAGTTCTAGTTAATGAGGAAGAAAATCTTTTTTTTAATAATTTAACATAACCGAAAAAACGGTAGAAAAACAGTAAATTTTTCGAAAATAATAGTTTTATTATTTCAGTTTTGTTTTATAGTTGTAATATATTGTTGTAGTTCAGTTAAAAATATTCATAGAAATTTGGCATTTTGACAGAAAACTTATATTTACCTTTTCTAGACGTGGTGATATTTGTTACGTAATACGTTGATATATTCACAGGCATTTTAATTTCGCGAGTTTTTACGTAATTTTTATTTGGAGTTTGTTTGTCAGTGGGTGCAATGGGTACATGTAAAAAGGAACAAAATCCATAATATTTTTTCAATTTCGATTAGAACAATATTTCCGGTAGAAAACATAAGTTGCAAAAATTGAAAACAATGAACAATCGGTAACGCCACGGCGCACCGTAAATATTTGCCGTTTTACTTATAATTTCCTTTCAGGGTTTTCCCAATTATTTCAAGAACCCTTTGGAAAATCAAAAAATTACCTTTTTTTTAATGCACCAAATAGACAAAATTTCCTTCCGGAAAAGATACTATACTATACTCTAATACTCTATAAATCGAAGATTTCTTTTCGAAAGGTTGTTTACAGATAGAAAAAAAAAAAGCACTCATCATAGTAAAACCAATAGATCCCTCGTTACGCTCCGAATCTAATACGCGAGTGTTGTACGTATTGTGTTTTATTTGCACCCATAAGCCGGTGTTTGAAAGTCTAAACCGTCAACTAATTCAGACGTGTCTTTCACTTGAGTACCTAATAAAATATCAATAAGAAGAACTAATGTGAGCAATCAATGAACGACACTCGCCTACCAGTATAATAATTTACTGTCGAAGTTTATTTACCGAGAATCTGCAGGTGACACTTTTGTGGGGATCAATTGTGTGGTTTATTGACATCGGCGGGAGTCTATAGATTATATTTATTTCTATTTTTTTTTTTTTTTTTTTTTTTTTTGTTATGCATGTATAATCTCTCGTGACGCTTTCTGATCCACAATAAGTATATGTACAGTTTTTTTTTTATGTACATAAAGTACACATTTGCCGCGACCGTTCATTAGGTATACAATAGTGTTTGGAAAATGTGATAGTCGTCATCAAATACACTTCAACCGTTCTCTCTCGTGTGTGTGTAAGTTATGCGACTAATAACGATACCGGAAGAGGGACGTATCGGATATAGGTTAGCTACTTATAATATGATTTTGACTTTCGCGTGCTCTGGTGACAGACAAAAAGACCAGAAAGGTCGTAAGTCAAACGTGTGCGCACAAAATATAATATAATAAGCGCTAATAGCTAGACTCAAAATATAAGATCTCTGCAAAAAACGAGGAATTATTATTTTATAAAATCCCGAATTCCCAAATGTATCGAGTTTATATGGAACTGAAAGCCCTCTGATTTATTCCGATGATCATATTATAATATTATGATGTCGTTGTCTTTTATATTCTCAACCTCGAGTTGTTAACAACTCTATAAAATCTACTTTAGATGGCATCTTTTTTTTTTTTATCTATTTAACGCAGAAATGTATTCGAAAAAAGGCTATGGTACACGGCAAGGAGGGGAGAACGTAACAAAGCCGTAATTGAGCGAGAATTTCGGGGGTTCAAACACTCCCCGCGAAATTAGTTTGTGTTAAATTATACTATACATTAAAGCATACAATATTATAGTAAAATTAGAATAGATACCATACATTTTTAGTTTACCTCCGAAATTATTTTCCAGTTATGGCCCTGTGGAATATTATAGGCAAAAGTGACACTCCCTACTACGGTTATTATAAATTCATTATACAAAATGATCAATCTATCGTAAGATACTCATTACCTCGGAAAGTATTAACTTTTTCCGGAATTTGTTTTTTAGAATATTTAAAAAACAAACTGTTTTACAATTTTATATTATTTTATTTTCGTCACCCTTATTTTTAGGGGTAAAACCGCTACCCACTTTTGATTTTCAAGTAGCAACCTATATTGAAAATTCCACGAATAGATGAAGTATTAATTAAGAGGACGTTATACCCCCATCTACCGTCTCAATCCAACTACCGGGTAACACACATAAACAATGCTTAATAAGTAAAACTAGCTAAATTTTGATTTTAGAGTTAAAGCACCGATTATGAAATTTATAGAGAACAATATTTTGGAGGGAATGACGTCGGTGTTTTTTGAATTATGAACTATTAAAAAAGTTACAGTTATTTAAAAAAGCAATAACTAAATGTTTTCGTAGCTTTTTTATTGAGCTGTACATTTTGAACAATACAGAAACCCCTCGTCATTCCCACCAAAATATTGATCTCTATAAATTTCATAATCGGTACTCTAAATTCAAAATTAAGCTAGTTTTACTCGTTCTGCGTGAGCATTGTTTATGTACATTACCCGGTAGTTGGACTGAGACAGTCGATGCGGGTACAACGTCCGCTTAAAATAAATGTCGGCGTTGGCATTTTTAGAAATGTATCGCATTTGAATTTCCCTTTAAAAAGTAAACAGGTATGGTTTTCGGTAATTCGTTCGCATTCAAACCGACACAGATGTGTGACATTGATTTGGGTGACCGCGAGGTGATCGTCCAATATTATTCGTGTACTGTTAGATTTAATGTGCGAAATACGTTATTATTAACAGCGCCTACGCGTTCGTCAAAGCTCAGACGAATCGCGAAATATTATTGTTCGCTATTGCCAACTGTAAACATTATACTTGTACGCGAATGAGAAAACCGCTCGTGTCCGTTGACCACCGCCAACCCGAAAATACGATCCGGTCTTAAACCACTGTTCGGCGCTACTGACCGCAGCGGTTCAAATCGTTTAGCGCCGGCGAACGTTTTCGACACCAATGATTACCATTACGCGAGTACGAAATAATATTAATACCTGGGCACCGGCTCGATTTAGGCGGGCCGGGCGGTACGTATACCTATTGGTCGTGATACGTTCGACCGTGCGACATTATAGCGGGCAAACGATATTCCCTTTCGCTCTGGCACGCACAAAAGCGCGAAATATTCGACCGCGCGGAGCACGGCGCAACGTTCTCAGATCGACTGGCCCCGTTGAACCGGATGACCCGGTTCCAGCGACCGCCGCACGTGCGCTTGCACGGCGTTCGCACAGTGTCGCGCGGTCGTGTCGAAATATCACCGCGTGTCCGGGCAGTCGGCCGCGTCGCGGTCGTCGTGTCCGTTCGGCCCGCGTCGACGGCCGACAACCTGTAGCTCCCCTCCGCCGGGGTAACCGGCGAGAACCGGACCGGCGGCGGCGGCGGCGGCGTGTGTGTAAACGCGTTTTAAACCACCGGACACGCACGGTCATCAGATAAAAACGTAATTATTATTATTGACGGAGGTATAGTTGGTGGGTATCGCGTTCGTTTTCGACGAGCGGCCGGCCATAGTTCAATTTTCGTTCGTTTTTTTTTTTTTTTCTCATTTTCTCGCCACCGCCGTACGTTAATCCGCTACATTATTCCGTATCACCGCCTTCTCTCCTGACGCGTTGCCGCCGCCACCACCGCCGTGCACCTTATCGCACCGCACCGGTTTCATTTCCGACTCGTCCGCCGTCCCAGCTGCCCGTCGTCTCCGTCTGTCTGTCACGTTCGGTTTCGCTGTTTTTGTTTTTTTTTCTCGGCTTTTTTCAAATATTTTTTTTTACCCCATTGCTAGTTATTCGTCGTCGCCTTACCGAGAAAAATAAATAATGGCCAACTATCACAAAATGGAAGCTTCGGCCGTGCAAACGCTCAAAGACCTTGCGAACAAGTTGAGAATCGATTCGATCGTCGCGACCAACGCTTCCAAATCGGGGTGAGTTACCGGTAGTACAAGAGCCGAGTGTGGGTGGAAGTAGGGGTAGTTTTGCTGTTTGAGCCCTCTTCCATCGGATCGTCGGTTTTTCGGTACCATACCCTGTTGGGTTGTACAAATTAATATTTCGTTTTGTTTTTTTTTTTTCTCTTAAGCCGACGACCGTGTAACATTTATTTTCCCTTTCACTCGCCTCGTGCTAACCGTCCCATTTCCGACCTCAGACTCACTGGTAACCGCCGTAGACATCTCGATTCGGCCGCACGTCTCGTATATTTATTTTTTTTCCTGCTCATTATCATTCGTCATTCCTTTTATATTTTTTCGAACGTGTTTTATAGACGGCAAGGTACCTGTTATTATTACAATTGTATTCGTGTAATCATGTGGTTATTAAGAACGTGATTTCCATCGACGCCGGTGAAAGTAAAAATAAAATAACGTTTTGGCCTTCAACCCTTTGAACTTAAATGTTTATTTTCTTATTCACTCATTAGTGACCTGATTATTATATTTTCAACTAAAAAAAAAAAATAAAAAAACATAATTAAGTACCTACCTATATCACGTTCCTTAACGAACGTTTGCGTTTAGTCAACATGAGAAAAACTTTACTTTCACTAGGTGCCTACCTAAAAGTACATATCCTTGACATTTTTTCGTTTTCAATGTATACACATAAAAAAAACAATATTTTATCCAAGCCATGTGAGATATTTTTTTTTTTTTTTCAAGACTCCGGGCTGTTTCTTTTCAAAATATTTGAATTGATTAAATACTAAAATAACCATTTCATAGTTAGAGATATTTACTTACCCACTATTTTTTAAATAATAAATGTTAGATGATGATGTTAATTATTATTATTGTTCAGATTTGGAAATATTAATAATAGGTAGGTAGGAAGGTATCTACCTACTTTCCTATTGCGCCATTAGTTTTATTATTCATTCCGCGTACATATTATTAGGTAGGTACCTACAATACAAAAAGTAGTATTGTAATGGTACCTACCGGTATATTTTGATGATTTAATAATTATTTGTGGATATTGGAATCAATTTATTTTATTATAACCCAATAAATGGATTACACTAAATTGAATATTAATAAATAAAAGAAAATTGTATTCTTTTTATAGAGTCATTAATTGTATTAGAAACAAAACTTTTATTTATATAACTAATCATTACTATGAACTTAAATACAAATTCCATTCTTTTACATATAAAAGCCAGTGTATATCAATGAATATTTCAGTCTCCAGCACTTTTTAAATAATCAAAATTAGATTATTTGTTTCTTGAAGTTAGCAATAAGCCTACAACATCATTTTTGCTATTGTATTGATAAACCATTATTCAATTTTAACTTACACGTTCTTAACATATACAGTATACAATTTATTAGACTGGCTGTCAAAAACTGGTGAACTACCAAGGAAAGGCTGGTAATATTGTAGTAGGTTGTCTAGGTAGTTCCTTTATATATTTTTTTTTTTGTCAAATCGATAAAATAAAACCTACCTATATAAATGATGACTTAATGCTTCACTAGTAGTTAGAACTATTTTAGTTTCATCTACGTAAACAAAAATGTATTATTTAATATCTATTTTTAAATTCCCTGGTAGTCTGATTACAAGTAGGTGTATACTATATACCTACAATGTCAATTAGATAATGATTTTGTTAATAATGTTTACAGCGTTAGTCACTTATATTATTATTAATATCTTCAATATTAAGTTAATACAAAATTTATTTAAGTTTAAACTGAAAATATGAATTCCTATTTTAAGGTTTTAATTATAGTTTTAATTGGTAGTTGTTTTAAATGCATATTTGGTTATATATTAATAATAGTTCTAGTCTCTAGGAGTCATCTAAGATCATTGTATGTATTTATACTAATGGTAGGTAGGTATTATACATTATTATAGGTATCATCACCAAAAATATTAAGTAGGTATATGTATATATTAATTTAATATTATAAATGTACAACAAATTTTAAATTGTAAATGGATATATAATATGCAAATATGCAAATACCTACCCTTTATTTTAAACAGTTGAATAAGTTTTAAACAAAGTTTCAGCTGTTCATAGTTGGGTTTTCAAAGTTATAGTACCTATAATTTATAAATATTTAGGTATTTATTTTAATATCTATGTATATTTATTTACCTACCTAATTATATTTTATATATTTGTTTTTTTCATGTTGCAGACATCCTACGTCATGTTCTTCGATGGCAGAAATCATGTCTGTATTGTTTTACCATACTATGCGCTACAAAGTCTCAAGCCCAAAAGATCCGGCTAATGATAGATTTATTTTATCCAAGGGCCATGCTGCTCCTATTTTATATGCAGGTAATTAATGATACCATTAAAAACTAAACATTTTATTTAGGCATCTAATAATTAAATTATATTTTTTAGCATGGGCTGAAGCCGGTTTGTTCCCAGTATCTGACTTATCAAATTTAAGGAAAATCGACAGTGATTTGGAAGGACATCCTACCCCACGTTTAAATTTTATTGATGTTGGTACCGGTTCACTCGGTCAAGGTCTTTCAGTCGCTTGTGGAATGGCGTATGTAGGCAAATACTTTGACAAATCGTCCTACAGGTAACATATTTTTATCAGGTTTTTATTTCTTGTATAAATATTTAAACCAGAAACATTTTCATATTGTAAATAACTAGTTAATCATTCCATAATAGTTGGGGTGTTCTGGGTACATTATTTATTAACAAACTCGGAATTGAGTATTAGCAGAGTAATAATTTATAGAAATGCCGGGTAGCGAGTAGTCATTGGATACAGAATATGATATTGGATACCAGATTAGGACTCGATAGCCAGATACCCGAAACATCTCTAATAATTTTATTTTTTAAATTGTAATATTTTAAATGCAAGTTTTTTGATTAATGGTGTACCTATATTTACCTATTTGTAGTGGGCGGAGAGGAAGGAGTCTTCTTTTTAAGTTTTCAAAGTCTAGAGGGACGCTTTATGGTCTTCTTATTAAGAATAATGCAAATAATTAAGTATCTACTAAGAGCTAGTGGCTAATCCACTTAGACACAAGCTAGTAGTAACTAAGTATTACAAAACAATGATGCCAGTCTACTGGTGCAGCTGTATGGGAAACTCTATGACTATTTTTAAATCCTTATCAGTAAACATAAAAGTTATCAATGATATTAGTAATAAAATAATGCCAAGGAAATTTCCAATTTATACTGCAGCACGATAATACAATATACATTTTTTTTTTTGGTCAATTGTGGGCACATATTTTTTTTGTTACATAGTAAAACCAGGGGAAAATGTATACCTAACCTAACCAAGTAAACATTTAATAACACCCCGGGTACCGAGTACTCTGTACAGAATATGATATTGGGTATCTGGTTAGAACTCGATGGCTGGGTACCCAAAGCATCCCTACATAATATTTTGCATTTTTCTCCTCAATTTATTCTGTTAATATACTTACCTACTTTAACTATTAAAAGAATGTATTGTCGACAGAACTTATTGTTTGTTGGGTGATGGTGAGAGTGCGGAAGGCTCAGTCTGGGAAGCTTTAAACTTTGCTTCATTTTACAATTTGGATAATTTAGTGGTTATAGTTGACATCAACCGGCTTGGTCAATCAGGACCAACATCTTTAAACCACGATATGGAACTCTACAGACAAAGATTTCAATCTTTCGGTCTCAATGCCATAGTTGTAGATGGACATGACATCGAAGAATTAACCAAAGTAATGTATATTTCAAAATGATAGATAATAGTTTTTAAGTTTTTTTTTTTTATCTAGGCTTTCCATGAAGCTTCAATCACAAAAGGTAAACCAACAGCTATTTTGGCCAAAACATACAAAGGAAAAGGTTTTATCAACATCGAAGATATGGAAAAATGGCATGGTACTCCATTGAATGACAAAGCTACCAAAGTTCTAGAAGTATGTATATTAACTAGAAATTAATTTTTGACATCAGTACTCAACATTCCAAATAATAATAATCATAATTGTTTATTTACGGAAATTTTGTTATTGGTGTTATACAGTTAAATATAATCAATTTATAAATAAGAAAATAAAATATTGATTAAATATTAGATATTTTATTTCTTTTATTTGATTTTACATTTTTTTGTTGATAGGAAATCAATGGCCAAATCAGAAATAAAAAAATTCCTGTTACTATATCAAAACCTATTTCTGATACACCTACTATAAGCATTTCCAATGTCCGTTTGTCAACTCCTCCCAACTATACTCTTGGTGAAAAGATTGCTACACGTGTTGCATATGGTACAGCTTTGGCAAAAATTGCAGACAATAATGATCGAGTTATTGCTTTAGATGGTGATACTAAAAACTCTACATACTCTGATAGAATCAAAGTGGTATGTTTTCCCTTTAGATCATGTACAATAGATAGTCATTCATAAACAGTGTGAAGCCAACAATGTAGGACCAAGATGATATACTTATGTGCATGACCTTTTATCATTTATTTGACACAGATTTTAATTTACTTAATAAAATAAAAGTAATAACCCTGACTGGTTAGCCAAGCTTGCACTGATGTCATGGCTCCTATAGTTTATATAGTTAGCTTCAACTCAATCTGTAGGTGTGGTATGCAATGGCTCTATTGTATATTATGATCTAAGGTTTTCCTTATTTTTTTTTTTTTTTATTATTTAATTATATTAAATTTGTAATTAGAAATACCCGGAGAGGCATATTGAGTGCTTCATTGCTGAACAAAACATGGTTGGTATTGCTATTGGAACTGCATGCAGAGACCGAACTATTTCTTTTGTATCAACCTTTGCTACTTTCTTTACTAGATCTTTTGATCAAGTATGGCTCGATTTTTACTCTTAAAAAAATTGGCTTGAATTTAATTTTAATTTACTTACATTTAGATTCGTATGGGTGCTATTTCACAAACTAATGTTAACTTTGTTGGTTCTCATTGTGGAATCAGTATTGGTGAAGATGGGCCTAGTCAAATGGGTCTTGAAGACATTGCCATGTTTAGAAGTGTTCCTGGTATATAAATGCTTTCAAAAACATTTTGCTTATCATTTTCTCTACAAATATATTAATCAAACCATTTGTCTGATATAAGAAGATCTCATATCAGTTATTTAGTATTCATATTATACAATATTGAATTTAAATGATTATTTGTACATTATTAATTATATAACTTTAACTTTAGTATAACAAATTTAAAGAAAAAAGTAAATTAAAATTATTTGATACATATTTTAGTCTATTAACTTGTATAAAAAATCAATCTCAATGATATATTTTTCTTCATTTCAGGAGCTACCATATTTTACCCAGCAGATGCTGTGAGTTGTGAACGGTCTATTGAAATTGCAGCAAATACAAAAGGCATTTGTTTCATTCGTACTTCCAGGCCACCTACAGCGGTTATTTACCAAAACAATGAAGTTTTTGAAGTGTGTATTAATAAAACATACATATTTATGTCCTGTTCTAATGATGAATAAACAATTTCAATGAATAATTTCAGATTGGAAAAGCTAAAGTAGTTAAAAGTTCACCTTCAGATAAAGTATTGGTAATTGGGGCTGGTGTGACACTCTATGAAGCTTTAAATGCCGCTGAACAGTTGGAAAAATCTGGCATTAACATCCGTATTATCGATCCATTCACTATTAAGCCACTTGATGCTGCTACTATCATCAAGAACGCTAAAGAAGTTGGTGGTACAATTATTACTATCGAAGATCATTATCCAGAAGGTATAAATATAAATTAATATTAAATATTTAAAATGCTTGTTTATGTATATATATATATTGTGTAATTTAGGTGGTTTGGGAGAAGCTGTGTTATCTGCAGTTGCTGAAGAAAGAGACATTACTGTCAAAAAACTTGCGGTCACTGACATTCCTCGTTCTGGACCAGCTAATGTTTTGTTGGAAATGTTTGGAATCAGTGCCAAAAATGTTGTTGCAGCAGTAAAGAAATTAGTTTTATAACTGTACTAATTTATTTATAATGTGCTACTCCATTTAGCATTAACTAATGTGTGGTGTATTAACATTATTTTAGTTCTGATTCATATTTTTATTATTATTTTCTTATTTTAATGCCAATAAAATTTATAAATACATTTGGTTATCAATACAAAAAGTTTTACTGAACATACCTAAATAATATAATTTTAATAATCTGGTAAATCTAATAGAGTTAAACCATAAATTTATTGACAAAAAAGATGAACATTGTGGGTTTGCCATTATTATAGATGAAAATTTAGGAATGTATACTTTGTCCACAGTAAGAGTAGTAATCAGAGCCACGTCTATTTGATGATGACCACAGCAACGGCAAAAGAAAAACGACGAGCAGCTACCCATCAAATATTTCTCGTGCACATATTCAAATTGAAACGTACTTATTTCGTTCATTATAAATTGTGCGGTGACAATGCTTTTTAAGTTATTTATGCAAGTTGGCTGTTAATTGTAGACCAATACCGCTCGACAGCAGAACCAACGCTCCCTCCGTACATGTAGTGAAGGCTACGCCCATGCGCATAACTCGACCGCAGACTACTACTCTTATGATGGACAGAGTATAGAGGTTAAACTTAATGTCTATCTGTACTCAACGATTAACCATTGCTAAAGAAAAACGATTCTGAGCAAAGTTCGATTGATAGTGTTACTTTGTCAACAATATACAGTGTAACCTTCTCTAACAGACACCTTCCAATAGTGAACATTATTAAGGAACTGGACATTTTCACTATTTTTCAATGGGAAAACTTACGAATTTAATCTTCATTAAAAAATAGTGACAAAATGCATTCACATTAGTATGTACTCTCGTAAGAATAACGATAACAAACTTAATAAGATTATAAATGACACCTATTACAGTGAATTTTTATTAAAAATAATGCCAAACAATGAGAGCATTAGGTTTAACGATAATGAACTCGTTCAACAAACTCATATGACAAAAATTATGTCTTGATTGTCAATGTTTCCTTTGTTTTGTTAGTCAGTGATCTACTTTTCAATAAGTGACGAATGTGTACGACTGTGATGAATGGGCTAAAGCGAAAAAGGTTGTCGCTTCCAGAAAAAAGTTGAAATTCTCTGACTTATGCTAAAACAGTGGAAACGTTTTAAGTCGAAAAATGTCATCATTACATTTTTATAACAATATTTTAATTTAACATAGCACAAATGTTTTCATTTTACACATTTTCCTTTATGAATTTCAAGAATTTACACTTCAGGATAACAGACACCTCTGAGTAGTGGATAAAAATTCTGCAATCGAGAGTGTCCACTATTGAGAAGTTTCACTGTACATGTTATACTATGGTAATATAATTATGCATTGCATATTTCCTTTCATAATATTTGTTTAATATTGTATCTATTTTCTTATTTATTGGAAAAATCAAAAAACAAATTTCCCTAAATACCACCACAGTCAGATTTAATTTCAAAAAAAATTGCTATCATTGTAAATTGGAACAATATTTATATTAGAGGTATAGGGGTTAATTATTTATAAACTAACTGGTTACCGAGTATTAGCCGAGTAATAATATCGATCAAATTCAAATCTCCGGTGCCAACCACCAGTCAAGTATTAAGGTAAGACAATATATATAAGAATAATGAAAATTATTTTGTATCTACTAAAAGCTAGTGGCTAAGTCTCCTAGTCACATGCCAATAATTACTAAGTAATCATTCAATAAAAAATGAAATATAAATAATAAATAGCAAAGAATATACATTATAATTTAGTAACGAGTAATCGGTTACAGAATATGATATCGGGTACCTGGAACATCTCTAATTTATATGATAAAATATCTGTACAGTACATTTTGAATCACCCTGTACATATATATTCAGCTGTAGATAGAGCTGAATGCATTAATTCTCTTTTCTGTTTATTGGAGAGAAATTAGTAAAATTGATTGCAGTATTGCACACTAACACATATTATAATTCTATAATACTTTTAACAATAACAATGATCATATCGATCTTACAAGTTAAAATAATAATTAGTATTTATTTTTATTAACCATATTGTAATTAATAATTTAAATATGACTTTAATATTACCTTATGATCAACTAAATGGTCATATATAAGCTGAAACTTCAAGTTGTTTACGAAATATCAGAGTTAAATTCCAAAATTATATGGAATAATACATAGGTAACAAATAACAAAATAATTATTATATTATATTGAATAAAAAAAAATCAAGAATAATCAAATACTAATAAATGAATAAAAAATAATATTTTATTCTAATAATGCCCGACTGTCAACAACTACATAAGCACTATTTTGGACAAGGTTCAATTCTACGCACGATATTATGCTTGGGTGAATGAAAAAGGTAATATTTTACCCAAATTGATAGATTTTATCATTTAATCATTTAACTAACAAGATAGAAACTACCATTGAATGGTTGTTAAGTAGATGAGAAAATTATACATCCATATGGATGTAAATGTATAGGTAATTATGCACAGTTCACCCTGACTTTATTGTTAAGATATAGTATAATATTACTAATATATTTTAAAAACATTTGTAGATAACTGATCCATTAACATTAATTATAATTTATTCATCAAGATAAATAAATGTAGATAACTAAACAAGGTTGTTTTTTTTTTTACAGGACCTATTATAATACATATTTAATGACACATTGACGCGTTCTCGCGTATACAGTTTGAAATCCAACTGTCATTGCGTGCCAACGCGGCACTGCCTCCCTGATTGGTTCACCCCAGTCGCGACAGACGCCACTAGCGCACCTACGACTCATCTCAAGCCTACGGACGCCGTCGTCGATTATCATTTCATTTATTCTACCGTGCGACTAACCAGTCACCGCGTGCTTCATCGTCGTAAGACTTGTTCAGTTATAATTATTTGATATAATTGTCTTTTGTTTTAGTTTTTTCGCCGCACAAGTGCAACCGCTATCACCCGTACTGCGGAGATAGCGTTCTTGCCTTTTTTGAGCAAATCTTGTTCCAAACCGTTCTCGCTTGAAACCTGTGCAATAAACTGCTTGGTCGTTGTAGCGCCATTACCAGCACCTTCGCATCCATCATATTATAGCACGTCATAACGGATACCTTCCTCTTCCGTGTCAATTTGGCTTCCTGAACAGGATTCAACGGTAAGTGAAAACTCATTTAACACGATAATACCCTCATTGTTTGCGTAATAGTTCCCAGTCGTACACGACGAAAACGTGGTTTGCACCGTATGACGGGTGGGGGGGGGGAAGAAACCGGTCGTTACATACCGTCACGCACGATTACATGGCACACACCTTGCGCGATGCAGGTGTGTCCCTCCTACGTGGCTTCCCTCCTACCATGATTAGGTAGGAGGGAAGCCGTAAAATGTCGGAATGTGTGCTCGGATTGTATAATTCCGGAATAAAAATGCATTTACACGGAATGTAGAACTGCGGAAAAAGACAATTTGTGAAACGTATTTGTACGGATTGTTCGTTCCCGGACTGTATGTTTTCGGGGAAAAAAATTGCAGTCATGGACCGTATAATTCCGGAAAACACGTTTTTCCGATCCGTAATTAAGAACTGGATTTCGTGGAAAAAATTCAGGTAGTTACGCGTACCGTTGCTAGTCCCGATCACTTATTATAAACCCTGTATCTATAAAACACCCATTATGTCGGAAAATATCAACTTATTTCGTATTTTCTTTTTTGACAACTTATGGAATCGGTAGCTCTAAGGAGTTGCATTACCATTATTTTAGTTGCCCTTATTCAATGTTTTTGCGGTTGAAATGAATCCTTTTGGTTTTCAAACGATCTCGTAATTGCTTTAAATAACAAATGTAAAGGCTTATTGGAGCTAGTTTTCTAAATATTCTCATTCTATCACCAATCTACTAGCTGATGTCCGTTTAAGAGAGGAGGGGGGGGGGCAGTGGCATAACTAGGAAGAAATAAACATCGTTGTAAAACCGAAACATTCCTCGCTCCGCTACGAATCTAAAAGCGTGGTTAAGGTAGAAATATATACGGGCGTTGTAAGGTCTGGTTATACGCGCACGGTTGTGTACATCCGAGAATGCAAAAGTGGTTCAAACGTTTTCCAAGATTCCGAGGTTACGCGGTTCGTGATTAATAATTTATTTTCTGACAATGTACAATGTACGGAGTAATGTACGTTCCGTGTTTTCACATGCGTCCAAGTAGGAACATTGGAGCGCGGTACGGTCCCATAGCCGCCGCGACCAGTACGCAAACAATAAGCACCCCGTGCCCGCGTGAGATATAAATAGATCCGCCGCCGCCGCCGATACGCAACTGTCACCGCCGCCGTCCCCCATCGCTATAGTCGTACGGAACAAAAACACACGCGCACCCCGCAACGACCGTAGCGATAAACGACCTTTTATTATCGCCGAGCACACGCATTCAACGACCCATTGATCCATATTCGCACGTAAACAAACGCCAGCTTGTTTATCCAGAGCTAGGCACTTTGCGTCCGACGCCGAAACGGCCCGCGAACACCACGCCCCATCACACGACGCATGTGGTCGGAAGACGCCATCGTCGGACAACGCCCGTTACCCACACCGCATTCTGATAGCGACGATAACACGCAACCAATACGACACCGCGGTACACAAACTATGCCGCGACACGGCGGCCGGTCGGTCCATTTCGGAAACGCGTCGATTCCGCACCGCACACCGACACCATCATCACCTCCGCGCGCGCTACAACAGTCGACTTTAATACCGTATGAGGATCCACGCACAGCGAGACACTCGCTGCCGGAATTCTACGGTACAAGGTATCGCCCGAGGGCCCGGTACGATTTATTAACAACTCCGAATCGATATTGAGCCAAACGAAAATAGGTAGGAAGGGGTGGATGAAAACAGTCGAACCGCAGCTGAAAGGGGCTGTCAGTACCTGGTGGAATACCACCAAAGTACTGGACTTGTCCTGGGACGAATTCCGCGACGAATTTTCAGAAAAATTTGACAACGCGGAACTACAGTCACAACTGCGGGCCGTAATAGTATCTGTCCGACAAACACTCCGCACAGTCCCTTACGCAACAGTCCTTTCATACTATCGAAAAATCAACTCGCGCGCCGTAAAACCACCTGGCCGGCCGAGCCCCGCGGCTAGCAAGCATAATGGCAGGACTGACGCGCGACGAGTTCCGCACCCACATACGCCTCTAGCGCCCTACGGCGGACCGCCGGCGTCCTGGACCCCGCACCGGGCAAATCACCGCCACCCCCCCTCTCACCCGAAAACGGACCCGGAAAAAATCGCGTGACTGCGCAAACCGCGCGCGCCAACCAAACCTGTTACACGCGTAGAGCAGGGGGAAAAAAATGCACCTAACTCGTGTAGGCACTGCGGTGGCCCGCACTGGAACAGCGGCTGCCCGCACCGCCCGTCCGTTCCGGGAAACGACCATTGTGACGGCGGACACTAGTCCGACCCACCGCCTCATCCGCACGCACACAACCACCCCTAACACGTTTAATGTTTGGCAATCACAACGGGGGATAAACTATCAAACGCGCAACAACAAAATCCGCGTCATCAGATATATTGCCCGTCACAAAAAAAATTACGAGAAGTAGTAGGTCTTCATCACCACTCACCACGACTTCTACTTCGAAATTTTAGCCAGTATCCGTGGATAATACGCATAGCACAGCGACAATCGAAAAGAACGCCCTGGTAATGGCGGTTCAACTCACTCTCAAAGTCACCGACTTCGCGGTTAAGACCCGCCCCTCGGTACTCGTCCTTGGCAGAGAGGGCAAACGGCCGGGGAATTGGGAACTGTCTCAGACAGTGGGCACTCCGGTCGATCAAATAAACAGGGACAGGACAGCGCGCGAAAATAGCGTCCTGGACATACCACCCATTACAGGTGACCAGACGCCCTCCAAATATACAACAGGGGACGTAGTGTATTATAAGGCGCATACAAAATTGTACGCCAGAATGGCGCCAAATAAGTGGGGGACCGTCAAGCTGGAAAAACAAGTCGGTAAAGGTGTGTTCCTAACCGATCAACAACTAGCACAAAAAATGCATGTTTCATGCCTTGAACGAGCGTCAACCACACACAAATAGAATCGCTGCAATCACCACCTTCCCTCCCTCTTTAAATTAAAACATGTAATCACCCATACCTTTTTCCAGAGTTATTGTTAACCCGTTCAACAGCGATGGACAACCAACAACAGTTTCCAACGAACCCTTCTACAGGGATCCAAGGGATATCCAATTTTTTTGAGCAGGAAGGGATGTTCCAGACAGAAGCGGATATGATGGAAAATGCAACGGCTGCACGGGTAAAGCAGCTGTCGATCCAACAACTACGCCGTGATCCCGTATTATGGTCAGCATATGTACGCGGATGGGAAGATTTCCGACGGACAGTACAATTTCAAGCACCACCGATGTCGGACAGACGAGGCGGACGGCCACCGACCGCACCGACTGGCCGCGGCCCCAGGCCCAGAGGGTCTAATTTCACGGGCCAACCCCGACAAATGGCGAACAATCCGATGACCAATATGGGACCACCCCAAACAACGGAATGGCCGGGCATGCAACAACCAAACGCCTGGTGTGAAACATACAAACCAAGTCAGGGAATACAACAAACGAAACTGTTCCTGCGGAAAACACCACCAACCGCATCCGACCCCGCCAATGCTGCAGCAAACGACTAAACAATTATTTAATATTTGTTTTTTTTTTGCCACACAAGTGCAACTGCTATCATTCATATTGTGCAGACAGCAGTTTTGCTTTTGTTGTGCAAATTTTGTTCAAAAGCATTCTCACTTAAAACCGGTGTAATAAAGTGCTTGGTCCAAAACCTATACACTTTGTCATTCGTTATTGTACTAGTACCACCTTCACATCCATCACATTGTAGACCTTCCTCTTCTATGTCAATTTTACTAATTAAATAGGTACCTAAGTACGTTATAACGTTATATAGGTATATTAAAAAGTGTACAAAGATATTTTAATAATGATGAATTGAAGAAAAATATATAGGTAAGACAATTTACAGTGACGAAAAAGTAAAATGTTGAAAATATATTGAAGGATAAATAGGTAGGTATACCATTTTGTTGTCTTATTAGGTACCTATCATGACTCAAATACATAATCTCAAATGTTAATGATGTACTTGAACAGAAATTACAAACAGAATTATATGTATAATGTACATTTTTAATTAGCAATTAGCGTTTCACAATATTGTCCTGCTTCGGGTATCCCCCATGTCGTATATACCAAGCAAAGGCTTGACCAATACAATAGATATCTTTTAGTTTCCAAAATCGTCCAGCCGTCAAACAGAAAATTAATGAAACCTGTTACAAAGGAACCTTATCAATTCTCCTTTAGGTGACCAAAAAAATTATAATTTAATAACTGATTGACTGTATCATGATAATATATATTTACACTAAAAACCGAACCCTTGACATTGAAAATTTAAATCAATTTTTTTATATAATCTATGTGTATAACATACTATATATAATTGTGTTTGACAACTCATGATTATATTATACATATTAAATTATTATTTTATTATTTTTACTATCTTCAATTATTTGATTTGCCATGTGTTACTTTATCAATGAACGTATAGATATGTCCTCACTTAGTCAAACATTTTTTAGAAAGTTTATAATAAATAAAATAAAGTTAATATTGTATAAGGATTGACAATATTATCATTTTATCATGAATAATTGTATTATGTAGGTATTTTATTATTCTTGGCTAAACTAGGATAACTATATTTAAAAAATAATAATTAACAGGACAAAATAATTTCAGTAATACATTCAGAGTAATATTTATTATAGTTTCTTTTGTCAATTTTTCAGTAAATGTGTAAAACAGTACAATTCCAAGGTTAAATTAATTTTGTTCACATTCAATAAATAATAATTAAAATAAAGAACGAATACGAGCACATACTACATTACTCGCGTTCGCTTATCCGGGTTATATATTTTGAGAAAACGCAGCTATTGTTGGCTAAAAATTCAAGCTCGTACCAGTAATTGCCTCGACGCTTCGTCTATTAAAATATTTAACAAAAACTTCTTCGTCTAAGTGTTAGTAGCACTTTAATACAGTGACAACGAATAACACAAAGACGAAGTTTTAAATGAATATACGAATTTGGTATATATACACGACAATCTTGCGAAGTGAACACAAGTGAGAATTTGGTTTAAGACATTCTCGGTTTACCCGAAAGTTTTGAGGAACGACTACAGATCGCTCTAGTAGCACCTACTCGTATTATACTCGTAGTATCGATACAGCCGTACACGCGTAGAAGCATATTCACACTAATAATCGTTATCGACTGACAAAGATTCCGACCCCGGCCACTGTCGACGTGAATACAAATTGCCTAAATTTTACTCCTTAATAAATAACTACGTGCAAGCTACTTAAATAATTAATAATAATTCAATTAATTATAATATGAATAACAAAAATAATAATAATAATAATTAATGAAAGTTAGATGACCAAGTACAAAATACTTTTATTTCAAATAGTGTTTTGCAAGCGGTTTGATCAACAATATTTTCTATATTAATATTATCATTTCGATGAATATTTAAAAATGGTATCAAAAATATTTAGTAATTAATTTCGTACATTTTCCGTTTTTCGTCCGTTTTTTCACATTTATTGGGAAAACTCTTTGAAAAATCAAAAAAAATTACCATCTTTAAAGTACCACCTCAGTCAGATTTCCCTTTAAAAAAAGTGCTATCATTGTAAATTGGAGCAAAATTGCTGGTAGAAAAGTTGTCCGCAGGCAAAGAAATAGTCATTGTAAAACTAATACATACTTCGATCCGCTCAGAATCTAAATACAAAACAAAAACGTGATTCTATATGTTATCATTTCCTGGTGTGGCGATTTCAAAATCTAGCAATCTTATATACACCAGGTATACACACCTGGCTGAAATATTTTGTGCGTTGAGAATGAACATCGACATCGACCGATGTAATATTGGCGAACTTGAAGTATGAAACATTACTACTAGAAATATCTGGAAAACCATCTAATTCTTCGATGTCTTTTATACCCAATTACATGCAAGACATTTTTTTTCCTAAGTGATAGACCAATATTTTTTTCTAAAACTTGTTTTAATTTTGACTGTATTTTCAACCCAATTGGACCTCGTAGAGTTTCAAATTATTTTTCTACATCGTTAATTGTTTAAATATAGTTAGATAACAACAACCTCTGTGTTTGTAAATTTTTAAAGATGTAGTAAGAAACAAACAATTTGATTTGATTAAAATAAAACCTACGTTAATTCCGTTTTTATTGATATATTTGTTCGCTTCTTTTATGCCGACTGCATCATCATTGTCACGTAATTCAAAAATAGAACGAATTGTGCATAAATTATTGCAGTAATAATTTACCGCATTGATACAGATACCCCAACGGGTAATTACAGGCTCTGGAGGTTGACTTATTTCTTCGGGGGCTTTGAATTTGAAAAGTTGAACGCGACTCGGAGCTTTTTTAAAAGTACTTTTAACACTAGCTATGACCTTATCAACTGATTTAAATTGACCTCTTACTTCTTCTGCCACTATATGTAAAGCAACACTTGCCGCTCACTGAGTACAAACCACAAAACTACTGTATTTTTTTCAGATTAATAAATTACATGCAAAAAATAGCATGATACTTATAAAATAACAGAAAAAAACGCAAATACCCAAAAATATGCACTACAAACTTTTAAAGCTGAATTAATTTTAGTGTGAAACGGATTTGTAGTTTACTCTGCTATATTTTAACATGCTATAAGTAAACATGCAAATATTAGAAGTCTCGAGCCATACTTAAGAAACTTAAAACTCAAAAACTTAAGAAATTCCTTAGCTCCTTTTTGATATTACAATTTCTCTAACTTGATTTTTTTTTTTTAACGAAGGTTTTACACGTAGTTGACGGAGAGTTTTTGTTGGGATATCACTAATTTTTTATTAAAATTTCGGGTATAGTTAACCTATATGTTTTTTATCAAGTGAAAAATTACGAGGATAAAATATTTTTGTTATTTTATGGATTGAGTAAATTAATACATGATGTATATCTATGAATATATAATATATTAACAAAATTGATTTTTTATTTGCCGCAAACGGCCCCCGTGGCAAACAGGTGGTAACAACGCGTACAACATAATATACATTGTTGAAAAAAATTGCGTTCCGAATAAAAACTATGGTAATACTTTTGCACATTACACAGGCCGTAATCATCCGATCGACTTGAAAATTGAAATTTACAAAACGATCAGTCCGTTAGTGTGGGCTACAGAGAGTTCGGACCGTTTGCCGTATAATTATACAGGGTGAATTGTAGGAGTTGGCCAGAACTGGTCTCATGCAATGTGCTGCGGTCGACGCGCGAGCTCTTCGTACCGGATGCCCCTACACCCGACCGCGCCGTGCATAATGGAATGCGGGTTAATACGACCGTGCGTTTCTCTTTACAAGCCGTAGGTTGTTTTTTTTCTACTCATTTTGTACGAGGGAGAGATTGTCCCTAGTAAATTCCACGGACGCGTTTTTGTACAATCTGACCGTCGTGTCGTTTGTAATACGCCAGCCACGACGAATAAAACCGGTTCGACAAGTAGGTAGAAGAATTTGGGAGGAGAATAATCTAATAATATATATGTATATTTTTTCTATACGTTATAAATACGCGTGGGAGAATAATGCATTCAAGGACATAACGACGGGATGTTTACGGCACGCCCCGCCGGCACCGGTCCCAAAAGCGGGCCCCGACGTCTTACAACAACGTCGCGGTTCCCGAGGGGTTCCTGTTCTTTCGTCAATAAGAAAGAAACACACGTTCCTTTGTAATATGATTGTTGTCGATGTTTCTAAACCGAAATAATACAACGGCGCGCATAACAAAACGCAGTGTGACCAACGTAAAATTGATATTTTAATTTCGGAGGAAAAAATTGAAAAACGTAACACGTATTATGGCGATGTTGCGAAACATATTTTATCGAGAGATAAACGCGAACCATTATCCGCGACGTTGGTACTGTCAATGTTCACCCGGGAAACAAACATTTAGCCAAATTAATGGATAATAATAACGTATCGTTTCGCTATTGTAATTGAAGACTAATCGCGAGAGGTAAAAACAAATTGTTCCCGCTTATTATTTCTTATCCGTCCCACCGTGGGATTCCCACGTTTAACTGGCACGGTGATCAATTAGTTTTGTCGGGACGCCTGGCGATTTTCATTAAACATAGTATCCCGTCGGTATTTTTCACGCATGTACCACAGCGGTATATTACTTGCGGGTAAGACGGCGCCGGGCGTACGGTCTTGGCCGTTGCGGGCGAACACAACGTGAACGACGTTACCGCGACCGAACGTTCGGGTACGCGGATCTGTGGCGTATACGAGGGGGGGGGGGGGGTTTGGGGGATGTGACACCCCCCTCGAGCCGTATCATATATTACATTATTATTACAATATACATTATTATTACAATATACATTATTATTACAATATACATTATTATGTATAATAAAATAGGAACATAGGTAAATACTAAATCGTAAATACAATATGAAATATAAAATACGGTCTTCAGTTTCGAGTCTTGACTGTGAAGATGTATGTAAATCACGTTTAATTGTTATAACTCTTATTGTTTTATTTAATCTGTGTCATTACATATTGTTAAATAGTAATATTCACGTGGGATTAAATTAAAATGAAAAGATATATTAATAATTACTTTAAGAAAGTAGAAACGGATCGCCATGAAACGATTAGTATTAATAATGAAAGTGAACATGAACCTGCCAAATCAGAATTGTCTTCGTCTTAAATATCTTAGAGGTCGAGGATACGATGGGGCTGCAGCTATGAGTGGCAAATTCAATGGCGTTCAAGCTTGTATTAGGGAGTCATATCATAGCGCAATATATGTTCATTGTAGTGCGCATAACTCAAACCTATCTATATCGTATGCTTGTAGTGTTCCCAGTATCAGAAATGCTATGGGGACAATAGAGAGCATTTATGCATTTCTCAATACTCCAACGCGACAATTTGAGTTTACAAAACATTTAAATAAATTTAAGGAAGATACTTCTTTTTCAAGTCAAAAAGAAAAACTTAAATACTAAACTTACTTTCAGCTATTCAAACATCGGAATTCAATGTAAGTCTTATTATTATTTATAAAATATTTCAATATACAAAAAATCTATGCACATATTTACAAAAACAAAACATAGATTTATTTCAAGCTTTAAATCATGTAGATAGAATAATTTCTCAACTCCAAAGTATAAGAAGTAATTGTGATGTAGAATTTCATAAGTATTTTGAAGAATTAACAGAAAGATCAAAGAAAATTGATTTTGAAATTGACATTCCTAGAATGGTCAAACGACAAAAGCATCGATCAAACTGTCATACAGATAATCCTGAACAATATTTTAAAATAAGTGTACTCCTTCCATTTCTGGACAATTTAGTGCAACAATTAAATGACCGATTTATAAACCACAAAACTATTATTATAATCAACAAGCTATCAAAGATTTAAGTGAGTTTTATTCTGGTGATATTGATCAAGAAGTTATTGAAACAGAGGTAAAGTTATGGCATACACATTTGGAAAAACTAAGCATAAAATGTGTTCTTGACGCTCTTGATAACTGCAATAAAGACCTATTTCCAAATGTTTTTAAACTCCTTCAAAAAATTGTCATTCAATCAAAAACGACGAACGGATTTTATTTTATAATATATAATTTTTTTTCATTATTATCTATTGATAATACCATACAGACATTATGTATACATAATTAATTAATTAAAATAAAAGTTTTAGCTTGTACGTATTATATATAATATTTAATGTTTATAATTAACACCCCCCTTCAGAAAATCCTAGCTACGCCATTGACGCGGATGCGTGTTCCTCGGGGAAAAAAAACTACGATAGAGTAGTGGGATGGGGCGGAGCGCAAGCTCTGCGACGGTTATCCAAGACCGACCGGCCGGGTACAACTCTGCGGTGCGCGCATACGTAGCCCCGACAACGCACCGGACCGCACTGCTGTTCATCCCGAGCGACCCGCGATCATCGAGTCTTGCGTTTTGAGAAATATCCGAGCCGCCACCATGAACGCCGTCAAGACGACGCATTTGCTGCTGGCCGTCCTGTCGATGTCATTCGCCTCGACCGGAGCCCTAGGTAATACGCTTTTTACTATACGCCTTTTTTTTTATTTATTTATTTATTTTCAGCGTTTGGGGAACATGCGGTTTTTTGGTGTTAACGTAATTGCGTTCATTTTTACCGATTTCAGTAATTCAAACGTATTCGATTTGTGTGTCGGGACAGCGAATGAAAAATTCGCATTACTCGACGATGATAGAATTTCAAAATCCATCGGGGGCTCGTTAATATTTTCCCCTGATTCTATAGTTTCGTCTAATTGAGAAAAAACTCTTTTTTTTCTTCGTTATTTTAGGACTTGTGGTTTTTTAAAAATGTAATCAGTTTCAAAAAATCAGTTTTGGCGCGAATTTGAATGTGTTACCAAACATCAGGTATAGGTACCTGCGGTTACCATACTTATAAGGTCGTGTTAATAACGTTATTAATCTGAGATACTGACAAAGTGGGATTGATTTCAGTCACAGTAGTAACCATAGATAATACATAATTATGCACTATCTATGGTAACCCATAGTCGATGGTGGTAACCCAATAAACCAGAAACCGGGTTAAGGTGCCTTCACAGCTTACCGTGAAACGTAAAATATTCTGGGACTGTGATTGATAAAACCATGTGGTTATTATGTAGTGGTTAATCAGTGGTCAGTTATCAATCATGGTGAATAAATTATAAATTATCACGTTCCACAGTGAGCTGTGAAGGCACCTTTTAGAGAACCTGATACACCCGTAATAATGTATAACCTACTTCGCTCAGAATCGGTCTTTGTTAGCAATAGTTAATTTTTTCTTACTGATATAAATTAAATAACTTTATGTATCCTAACCTCTCAACATCCCACATCCCACCTACAATAATGGTGCACCAAAAGCAGTCTCGGTTTTTTTTTTTTTACAATGTTTTTGTTGTTTCTATTTCTGTTTTCTTTTAAGAAAGTGAGTACATATGTTAAATTTCATCTCAAAATTTTTAGAAATTGTGTAAAATAATTTTTACCTTGTGATTGATGATAATATTTGTTTTGATTTAAATTTAATTGCAATTATAAGACTAAACCGACCATTTAAATGGCACCCACCTTATGATTTTACCTTTATTTCTGTCATATAAATAATTCACAGAAATAAAGAAATAAAGAGGTTTTTTTAAATCATAATAGTATTATTATAATTGCAGATGAATTTCAATACATACCCTCTCTCGCCAAGCGGAGTTCCGGTTGTTACGGGCCGAAAGGAGGTAATATAATATTGCTATTGTTATTACAGTTATAGTTTTAAGCAGGCTTGAATTTTGTATTATATATATAACTTTAATTTTGTTTTTTAATTAAGTATAGATACCTAAGCATAATACCTACATTCAAATATAATCCTAATTATTGACGCAAATAGGAGAGGGGCTTGTAGGGGTTAGTCCTTAAAAATGTATTCATGCTCCTTCCCAAATCGAGTCTTTATCAAGTATATAAATACTAATTGTAGTATGTACATAATCAATATTACGGCGGACTTAAACTTAGACCCTAAATATTTGGACTATAGCACCTATGAACCTAAGTTCTAATACAAATATAAGTTAAAATCAATATTTTACAGTGTTTTTAACATGAATAATAATTATCTATAACAGATTTAAACAGTTATAAAACATATTAATATTGTACAAATGTACAACACATTTATGTCTCCGTCCTACAGGTACATGATGCCGATAGGATATAGGTAATTAATTTTAGATTCTGATTGTCTCATTGAAAATATTCATTTTACGATAAGATTTGTCTTTTTGAGTTTTTATGTGTTTAAGTGCAGACAATGATAGGTACATAAAATAATTATTAAACAAAATGTTTTTATATTCTGTTCCATAATAATTGCTCATTAAATACTCAATTATATTTGTACCAAATATGAATATCTTCAAAATATAACTTTTTTTTATTGTATTTAGTTGGAGGGGGCCATGTCCTCATGCACCACTTATATGTGTGCGTGTAAATCGAGGCTTGCTTTGCGGTGGGAAGTATGTTCAGCTTGTTTTTTTAAGTTTCTCAATTTAATGTTTTGTATAACTCCTCGTATTAGCCCTTGTATTATAATCGTCCAATAATTTATACTGATATACATACTACAATATACTCATATACATGTACAATAGACAATATACAATAATAAAATAATAAAGTAAAAACAAAATTATTAAATGTTTACAATGTTATATATATAATATAATACTATTCCAAAAATAACTATATTTATTTTGTGACTAGGTAAATGTATTAACGAAGCTGTGTGCTTAAAATTAAATGGCGTGGTAAATGGAGTTTGTCAGAACCCTGTAAATCATACTAAGGAGGTTTGTTGCTCTTGTAAGTATATAAGTTAATAGTATATAATATGAATTACTGAAGTATATCTTTATTATTATATTAATAGCACTGTGTTGATAAATTTAAAAATTAAATGGTTTGGTACCTTAAAAACTATAAAAACATGTTCTAAAATGGGTACTAAATTGAAAAGGCTGCCTGATTAACCAAAGATATTAGAATAATTTGAAATATTTATTATTTATTTATTTATTTCAGCATACTCAAATAACATATAATCTTATAATATTAAAATTACATTGATAAACTGATATGTATACCAATTAGTGTGTGCTCGTAACTGGTATACAGAGTTCTTACAGTTAAGTAATTTGTTTAACTTAAAAATAATTATACAATTAAAATATAATTTAGTTCATTAAATATAATATATAGTATTAGATAATATTATTAACCCAAAATTACAACAATGGTACATAGAATATTTATATTTAAACATATTTACTTTTTGTAATCTTATTAACACACACATTCTCATCAAGCTCAATAACTATTCTATTGAATGCTTTTTTAATAATTATATCATTGGTATTGTTTGAATAAGTTTCACATACATTTTTTTATTAAACTCTTTACCTATATATTTAGATTATTAAATATTGTCTTACTTATGTATTGGGGGGATTTCTTGAACTGGTTAATAATGTATATGGGGGTTTAATGAATTTCCTATTCTTTTGTTCATAATTCCTGTAGTGTTAAGTATGTGCATTAGTATGGATTTTATTAAAATTTGTCTAATGTAAAGTTTATAAATATATTTGTATGGTTAAATAAATCCCCTGAAGGGTAATCATTTTTTGGGTAGTAAGTAATGCATTGATATCTGATTTATTTGTGCCTCCTCAACATGTTATGTCATATAATAAAACTGAATTACACAACGTCATGTATATTTATGATTGATTTATCAAGAAATTAAATTTTTTTAAATAATTTAGTTAGGTCCTCATTTTATTTTTAATGTTCTGTAAGCGTTCTGTCCAATAAAAGTTGAAATCAATTGTCACTACTATATATTTAAATGATCACACTATTTTAATAAGTTTACAACTGCAGTTTGATATATTATTGTCACATTTGTGTATTTTAATGTTGTATCCATTTGAGAGTTATGATGAAAAACATTATAATACAACTTCTAGAGTTGAAAACTATCCTAAATACAAATTTTAATTTAATTATATATATTTGAAATATATAGAATATGGATAAATTATTTATAAAATAAAAATAAAAGTATCTATTATCTATATGACTATATTTATTTATATATTTATATGACACCTTTGTATAAAGTGATTGAAGTCACCAAAATCTATACTTGACTCTTGAGAAGAATTAGTACCTAAGTTTTTTTTATATAAAATCTATCATAGTACCAATTATTTTATCATTTAAAATTTAATAAAATGTTTTTTACATGGTGATTGATGGTCATATTTGATCTGATTTTAACTTAATTATAATTATAAGGCTAAACTGATTATTTAAGCTCTACCTATGATAAATAAATCTAACAAATAAATATGGTTATTATGGTTAATAGTAATTTAAAAATATATATATATATATAATAACATTATTAGTTCCAGAATATCTTCAATCCACACTTCTAGTCGTGGCAGGACCCCAATGTGAGGAGCCTGAAGGAGGTAATAGAATATTGTTATTAAAATTACTTAGGAAGCCTCAAATTTTTTGCAATGTATAACTTTAATTTTGTTTCTTTTTTAGTGCCAAATATAGGTAACTTAAAAGTTTAACTTTTTTTTTTTTGAAATAGAGTTGGAAGGGGCATTTATACTTTGGACACTATGTGCTCCTGCACCTAGTCATAATGCAACGTTTATTTAGCTTATTTTTTTCTTTAAATTTCTTAGTTTTATGTTTTATATAAAATGTCTTTTAAAGTAGTTTATACCCATATACATATAATATATATTATACAATATACTAATACGCATATACAATGAAAAATATACTGTTATATAGTGTTATATATATAATATAGTATAATTCCAAAATTAACATATGACATTATTGTTTTTTGTGACTTCAGCTAAATGTATTAACGAAGCTATGTGCTTAGAATTAGATGGCGTTGTAAACGGAACTTGTCATAACCCTGGATATACTTCTAAAGCAGTTTGTTGTACTGGTAAGTATATACACAATATTTATAATTATATATTATTATAATCTATATAATATACAAGATAACATGTCTTGGCTGATTCATAATCGCAATTCACAGCTCAAACCACTGGAAGGATCGTGCTGAAATTTGGTATACAGATAGTTATTATAACGTAGGCATCTGTTAAGGAATTTTGAAAATTAAACTCCTATGATGGTAATATATGGGTTTTACATATTTTTGATACAAATATCTAATTGTTTATTCATGTAACATGTAGGGCTTACATTTCGAAGTACAATAAATAACAAAACAAGTATCCAATTGTTTGAAAAAAGCATAACCAAAAGCTAACTTAAATTATAATTTACTTTAATAAAAAAAAATTATTTTAAATTAGAAAATGAATTAACAACCATAATATTTAGTCAGATAGTCTATTATAAAACTTAATCTATTACCAGACAAAATGTTATTGTACATAGAAAACTAATTCTCTTCAGTGTAGTCTACACTCACAGCAGTAATTGGTGCTTATATCATACAAGCTGATTCGTTATAGCATAATAAACATATTAGAATTCTTCAACTTGAATAATTACAAAAATTCAATAAAAAAACATTTATGTAAAAAAAAAGAATTAATTTCTATAGAATCAAAATTACCTATATGTTTGAAATCTTTAGAATATGGAACAAATTTTTTCAGATAAAGATGTCATTGTATATTATTATAATGGAGATTTATTTCATAAAGTAACATTAGTGTTATGACATGTAGTCATTAACATCCTGTAATAATTAGATATCTGTATCAACTATATCCTTCACTTACTCAAGGTTTCATAAAATAAACAATTTTAAATTAAGAGGTATAGGAATAATCATTGTTAGGTACGTTCTAACTTTCGAATTATTTAAAGTGCCTATATAATATTTTTCATAATTATTGTGTTATAGTGAAGTCAGAAAGGGAATATAAAGGTATTGGGATAAATGATGACCTAAACAAAATTCTTGCGTTCAAGTATGTCAATCCAAATTTCCCAGGAGGATTGAACGAAACAAGCAAACATCACTTTAGGTTCAAAAAGGTATCCAAGAATGTAACTCAACTTCGTTTGGACTTTGTTACTTTTAATTTGGTAAGTGTACAGCTACATATTAAAACAATCGATTTTCAATGTGTACCTATTATAATAATATGTTTGCACTTTTCAGGCACTGCCCAACGAAACGACTAAAATTTGTACAGAGGATGTAATGATTATTAGTCATGGATCATCTAAACAGTTAAAAATATGCGGTTCTTATAGCGACAAACATAGTAAGAGATATTTTTCTTCCATACATAACGATAGTGTATAACCAATGTAGGGTTTTATTAATTAAAATTACACAGAGTGATTCATTTAAGTGGTTACACTCATTATCTTTAAAAGTATTAACTTTTTTCAGATTTTTCATTTTTTGAACACTTTAGAAACAAGCAGCTCTAAAATATAATAGCTCTATTATATGTATTACCCTTATTTTCGATTCTGTGTGAAGCGAGGAATCTTATAGTTATACAAAGATGTTTATTATAATTTTTTTTTATCTGTTAACAACTTTTTTACCAGAAGACTTGCTCAGATTTCTAAATGTATCTTCTAAGCACCTTTTCTAAAGAGAAATAGGTGTGCGGAGGTATTTTAGGGAGGTAATTTTTCAACTTTCTCATAAAATGTTTAAAAACCAAAAAAAAAAAAACAGGGAAATGTACAAAATATATTACTAAAATATTACTACATTTTTTTCCTGCGCACAACCAATAATTTTGCTCCAACTTTTAATGATAGCAATGTTTTTAAAAGGAAATTTCACTAGGGAGGTATATTAAAAAGTTCATTTCTTTTGATTTTCTCAGAAATTTTCTGCAAATGTAAAAAATTGAGATAAAACATGGGAAAACTAAGAAAACTTAGGAAAATTGAGAAAATCGGTACACCATGAAACAAATATTATTTAAGAAAATATTTAAAGCCTACTATAAAATGACTTATATTAGTGACAAAGCATCACTATCAATGTAACTCTGCTCAGTCATTTTTCGTAACTAATGGTTTATTGTTGCTTACAGATATACATCAAATTATCTATAACAGTGAATGTTTTTTGATATTTTTGATGCCCATCAACGACAAGATATTCTACTTTTAAGATTAAGCAGAGGGAGTAGTAGGTATTATTAAAACACCCCTTACTATACTGCCACATAAACAAAGCTTCACTACTCTTCTGTAGTGAGCCCAAGACCTATGCGACTGTGCTCATACAATTTATTTAATGATGGACCTTTGTCTATTAGTGAAAGGATATGGAGATAGATAATGGACATGATTAGAAGTTAATACAATTAAAACTTTATTTGGTACAACTCATATAATTTAGAAAACACATAAAAAAATGGATCATAGATTCTTCCACAAGAGCATGAACGTGGACCGACTTAACGTGAGATGATAGTGATGATTTAAAATCCGTAATGCTCTGCCTTTCGGTGTACATCAGGAACTGTATATATAGAGTTTTTCAATAAGAGCTGGTCGATATTGAAATGAAATAAAACAAGCTATGTCCAAGGTATTAGTGAAATTTTTTTTTTATTTTAAAGTTCTAAGTATGCCAATTATGTTTTGAATATAATATCATTTAAATGTCCGCCACGGCTTCTCACAGTGGCACGAATCCAAGTGGTCCAATTTTTAATGACTGCCGCATAGATCCGGTTCAATTTGAGCGATGGCCTGGGTTATGTTCACTTTAAGGTCATCTGTCGATTTCGGCTTATCGGCATAGACCTGCGACTTCAGGAAACCCCACAAGAAAAAGTCTAATGGGGTCAAATCACACGATCTTGGTGGCCAATTCACGTCTCATCAGCGAGAGATAACCATACCCTCAAATTTGCCGTTCAGAATGGCTATCGTGGCGTTGGATGTATGGCACGTAGCGCCATCCTGCTGAAACCGCATGTCGTCTACGTCCATACCGTTCATTTTGGAAAAAAAAAATCGGTTATCATCGTTCTGTATCGCTCACCATTGGTGATGGCCTCACCAACGTCATTTTCAAAAAAGTACGGATCAATGATACCGCCGGCCCAAAATCCGGGTCAGTTGGATCTTATATGGGTGTAAGCCCTTATTCGCAAAATTCTCCAAGTTGAAGACTGTGACAGACCGAGTTCTTGTGCACGGCGAGGAATTGACTGCCTCGGGTTCTCCTGCACGCTTTCACCGTACCGCGGCGATATTCTGGACCGATCTGGCGTTTCTTTGACGTACGGGTGTTAACTGATCGTTTACCGAACCAGTTGTCTCAAATTTCGACACCAAACGTTGGAGAGTCGACTTTGAAGGATAAGGCTATACAGCGCAGATAAGATCGGCCCGCTCTAATTGGAAAACCCTATATATGGAATCTAAACCAACTTCCTGAAGCTTGTCTAATAGTAAATAAGGAAATAATAAGGAAAAAAGAAGATGGTTAGCGACCCCTGCAACTATCGGATAGTATATTGATGTAGATATCGTCCCTTGTAATACTATATTTAATATGTTTACTACACTCTCTTACCCAAATTTAAAAGTGGAATATCTTGTCAATGAGTTAACGGAAATCAATAAATTTCAGCATTTATTTAAACTAATATTCAATCTATTTATGAAATTTTTAATATAGCTTGTTATTTGAAAATCAAAAATGGTAATTATGTAATATTTCAGAACTGTTTATGCAGCTCTAAAATTTTAGAAACAATTATTTTTCAAATTGTTAGAGAAAATAATTGAAAATTGAAAAATCAATATTTTCCGTAATGATGAGTGTCCCTACTTAAATGGATTACATCATCTTGTATAATACCTATTATTGTAATATATTAATAACTTTTCAAATTTAAAGTTTACTACAACTTGGATGATGAAAAGGAGGACTTAATCTTTATCAACATTACGCTGCTCAAGAAAAACTTTTACCGTGATTGGGAGATCAAAGTGAGTATCCCTGACATAGTGTAACTAGGGGGGCTGGATCTGAGGAGTGTAGCCTCCCAAAAATTACTAATAGGTTCCCTGAAATTAATATTTATTTGTTCTTGAATTAAATGAAAAATAATTATTTTCACTATTCCTATTACTGAAACAAAATAATGTATGGATATATATTATCGTGCATAATAATTGTGACTAAAATAAAATGTTTGACTACTCAAAGTCAAGATTAACTTCTGTGATTATATTATCATAGCTTGTTTACTAACCATAACACTAATTTATTCTGCTTAGATTATATATAAATAGATCCTAGTATATCATGGTCTATAACTTCTGTATCCTCTTCTTCAACTCGTGTTGTGGCCACCATTATCGCTGTTTGTTCTCGTACTTTTCCTAGTTTAATTTAATATGTCTGTGGATTACTGAAATAAAAAGTGTTTGGCCTTATTAAATATCAAAAAAAAAAAAAAACAATCAAATTCATGATGTTCAACCCTACTTTGATGCAAAGATTAAAATGCATATTGTGTTCATGAAGAAATAATTAGTTTTGATCACCTTGTGCGAGATGGTTCAAGTTATCATTATAATTTCCTCAACAACATCTAAACATTTTCTGCTATGAAGTGAAGAAATACCTACTTAAGGTCTACAATAGATCAGGATTAATTCAGTAATTTATCCATAATGAGTAATAAAAGAGATATAGTAATTGATTCTGAACAAATTGTACAATATTTATAGCTATAAATAAAATAAAAATAAAATTTGAATAATTTGTGTTTACATCAATTTTATTAAAACTAAAATATTTTTATATTTTTGTAGTGTTTAAATTTTAAAATGTGTAGGGGTTGTGGGGTATTTTGCCCCTCACAGATCACCTTTGGTTTAATATTATGGTAGGGCTGTAGCAATTTCCCTAATATTTAGGGCTAGATGTGCCACTGATGTTGATTAGATGGAAATTTTCAAGACATTTTTATCTATTTTTTAAATTTGTTTAAAGGTAACACAGCTGATGGAACATCAAAAGGTGCCGGACACGTGCCTTCAGTTCTTCGAAGAGGTAACAGGAAAAGTGCAGATGACTAATATCACACTCAACGGCCGGGACCTAAACAATGGCAAAAATAACAGAATTTGCATTTTGCATAAGCCGCGTATGTAAACTACATAATATGAAATAGCCATAATTATTAAATAATTTAATAACACACAATTGCTCTATCTCTTGTTTCCAAATAGATATGTGTTCTATTACTTACCAGCCATGCATCAAACATGTAATCAAACCACAGCCTGGTAAGTATTTACGATTAATATCCACCCCTATAAAAACATTATAGTCTTTCATAGACTTAGAGGTATAATTAATATTTAATCACAAAGGAACGGAGAAAAAGTTTGTTATATGAGTTCTTAAGTCCTGTATCCGTCTTCTATATCTATGATATAATTTGTTTCATAAATTATTGATTACTTATTGCCTTGGTCTTCCTCTCCTTAGTTCTCCCTCAAATTTCCCTTCCATTAATATAGTTATCCATAATAGTATATTATTCTTCGTGTGATAACATCAATTTTTTTTTTTTCATCATTTTATATCCCTCATTGTTACTTTTATATACTAGAGATTTTTAATTACCTTCGCCAATACCAAGATTTAAAAGTTTTATTAGTCATCTATTAGATAGATTCTATCCCACTAACCTCTTTTTTTTTTCTCCAGATAGATTTCCCCCAAAATCACAAAATACTTTTATGTATTTAATAATAATTACGTATCACACTAAGGCTCAGATTTCAATGCTATGTGCATTTTTTTGTAATTCATTTGAAATATATAATTCGAATGTAAATTTTTGTTTCCATTTTTCACTGCTTTTCTATTTTATATATTTATTTATTTTTTGGGGAGGTTAATTTTTAAAGGCAAATTATTTTAGTTTAATCAAATACTTTTTTTTTTAGTTTTTACTACATATAAATTTAGGCCTTTCCTATTTTAATAGTTGATTTTTTAATTCATTCACAATAATTATGGTGATTTCAGATTCTTTTTTAAATGGTAAAACCATTCAGTTTGGACTTAATTTATGGGAAGAGATTGTCGATGACAATACTGGTTTTTGTCAAGACTACCAGCAAAAAATTTGTCGCTATCGACCTTGAATTATCATAACATCATATTACCTACTACTCACTATTTTGTTAATCATTATTTCATAAGTCAATCATGTTTTTTTTTTTTTTTAGTAAAGATATTAAGATTAGTCATATAGTACATAAAGTACAATTTATTAATCTGACAATAAAAAACAAAATTGTAGGTATATGTTATAAATGTCTTTGTTTTATTAAAGATAAACCTGATCTCGAGTAAATCGTACAGTAAAATTATAATCTGTTCCACGAGAGATCGGGCTGCTCTTGTAGGATGCAACAGCAACTGGTTTTGACCGATCTCTCATGAGACAGATTATACATATAGTGTGTTTCGCTAGCTGGTCAGCGATATAAAGTCATTGTTTAATTTGCAGATTTAGTACCAACATTTCTATAGTGACGAAAAAAGACAAATTAAATGCAAGTAATTTGGAGAGCCCATTCTTTTTTTGGAAACCTAAAATACATAGATATATTTAATACATAAGTATTAAACATAATAGATATGATAAATATTTTAATATTTAAAAGTAGAATTTATTCATCTACATAATTGTTATCCTAAAATATATTATTATGGAACACAAAATTAGAGAAAAAGAACAAAATAAAATAAACCTGGGGATAAGGGGTGGGCTATAGCGGTTTTATTATTGAAAGAAGTTAGGTTGTAGGTATGCTATGATATGTATTAATAATATGATAATATTAAATTACGTATGATGTACCTACGTACATATTATGTGTGTATATTGTCATATACAATTATCAGGACTTGAAATATGAAGTACCTAAACAGTCTTTGTGTTTTATTGTTTTTTTATTTTGCTTACTTAACCTCTAATTTTGAATTAATTAATTATTTTATATTATAATTGTTACGATTGCGTAACAATATTTCAAGTAAAGCGAATATTTCGACATTTTCATTGCTATCTACCTGGACGTATTTGTGTTCAATAAACATTAACAAAAAACCAGTTAATATCGCAGGGAATATTAAAAAAAAAAATCGTTACCGCATTCGCCTATACTGTGTGTTCAGTGAAAATATACATCATCAATAACTTTTTGGTGGAAATGGTTACCTAGGTACCTACTTATATTAGCCGATTCATTTGGAATTTAAAAAGAATATTTCCGCTGTAAGTTATAAGAATGACGTTCACATTTTTGTGATGTAATTACGTATTCATCGTCTCGGTAAAAGGCCTTTTATTGCCAAAAATAATACTAAAGTATCATACAAACAATTTTATTTAAATACTGTGTCTTCGAATCGATTTTGAGCGAAGCGAGAAATGCATTGGCTACACATTTTCTATTCTGATCAAAACTTTTTTAGATTCTAAGCGGAGCGGGAATGAATTGGTTTTACAATGATGTTTATTTGTTTTTTCTATGGACAACTATTCTACTAGAAATGTTGATTTAATTTTCAAGTATAACACTTTTTGTAAAAGAAAATCTGACTAGGGTGGTACTTAAGGTGGTTAATTTGATGTTCCAAGCTGTTTTCATAATAAAAGGGAAAAAACGGAAAAATGTACGAAATGTGTTATTTTCAAATCGTTAATACTATTTTTTTATAACAGCCTTTTAAAAAATGTATAACCGAACTCAGAATCATTTTTCGTTTGCAATGGTTTATTGTTGCTTGCAGATATATATTGAATTCCCTTCCGTATCCTTCCATCTCATCTTCCCACCTACAAAAGTGGCTGCATCTGACTCCATTATCCTAGGACAACATTTTTAATTATACAAATTAAAAAAGTGTTTTATATTATGGAAAATGGAGTCAAAAACCCCACCTATGTTTTCCTTTTAATAACCTAATGGTTTTAAGTGGATTTCGAGCAACAGCTTTCTGTACGTGTATAGATATGTATTTAAATATTTTAATTATGGTATACCCCCCCCCAAAAAAAAAAAAGAAAAATTATCATTTTACACCTTTCATTTTTTTAACAATACATACCCTAACCGTGGATACCTTTTAATATACCATTTATGTATAGGATATAATCCCTGCATTCGAACCTAAAAATAAAAACGATTTCTGAAGTTATACAAACTCATTCGATCCTACCTTAAAAATTATCCGAATCCTCCAATTCAATCGCTATGAACCCCTAGAGCAAATTATACAAAAACATCGTACCTATAGTTGGATATGGGTCGCTAATTTGCTACAACAAATCAACAACTACGATAGTTGACTACTTCGACTAAATGATATACCGAATTATATTGCCACGAACGAAAAATGTTACGAATACAGCTACTCCGATACTCTATCACAACGTTGGTTAATAATTTAAAATTGCTAATACTAATTGTCAACAACTGTTACTAATGTAGTTACCAACCTAACCAAGCCCAATTCCTAAATAATTATACTACACATATTAAAATGTTGCGAAGTAGGATCGTTTCGCCATTCAGATCGACATAAATATTATCGTTAATTTTATAGTATTGTGGTTGCCACAGAATATTTTAAAATCGATTTACGTTCTGCCAGCAATATTTGATAAGACAGCCCAGTCCCATTTCTGTTGCCTAATGATTATTATGTTGCCTAATCGGCTCCTTAAATTGTATTGTTATTTTTCAATTTGTCTGTGTATTGCCTATTTAATTTTTTAAATTATATATTTGTATACCAAATGTGAATTTAATAATAATATTATTACCAATGATAAATTCTGAGTTGACGCATAGTTTTGCACAATTAATTATAAAATCATGTTTCTGTTTCTTTCATGAAAATTGTTTAACTATGATTTTATCATAATTTGATATAGACATCATATTATAGGTATCTCAATGTAACTTATTATGATGTAGATAGGTCCTATTATCTATAATAAATTAATGTTATTATTAATCATAAGTAAATTATATTTATAAACCAAATACCGTATGATTAAGACAATCCTGACCTTACTCGAGGTCCTTATGATACGGAGTAAACATAATATTTTTGTAGACTGAAAATCGGATATACTGTTGTTGTGTAATGTGGGAATTAGAAACATGCATTTTAGCAAAAAATAAATGGATGAATATCGAATGATGGCCCGAAATCACAGACCTGGCATTGCCTATAGAGTAGCTGAGGCAGTAACCGGTCGGACGTACTACGGTGGTGTACAGTACAATCAGATCAGTGTTGTCATTGTATGTGCAGTACAATGTACAATAATACTACGTAAAAGTCACAAATCACGCGTGAAGAGCGCCGTCTATGACCGTTTTTCGTGCACACAAGGATTGTCTATTAGTCAAATTGGTCTATGCTCAAAATAAATGGCTGACATATACACGCGAGTGGGTGTAATCGTGTATGTCAAAACGTGTTATTATCACAGATATATAACGGGTATTTTATACCTGTGATTATTATAATGTACGTACACAAATTGTATGCAATTGTATGCAATAATAATAATGCTTTTATAAATATTTTTCAAAATACTTTCTATATTTCTGGAGCTGTTATTGCAAATTCAATGGAAGATCTATATCCAGTTATGTGTACATTTTATATTATTCTATCGTATTATCCATGACATAACAAACTTATTATTACCTATATATTATCTTTATCATTGTAGGTACTATTGTCTACACGACACAGATATAGATAACAAACTAGATTTCTAATATCTATGCTACAGGACGACATCATTCTGTTTCGCTAATATTTGTATACATTAATGAATAGTAAATACAAAAAAAAAAAAAAACCTAAAATTCCCCTAAGCAAAAGGAATCTTTAAACAATTTTGAAAATAACATAACCCACGAATCAATCAAAATAATTTGATTTTCGTATCGAAAATACCCAAAAACCGAATTTTGAGGAAAAATTTTCAATAGGGGACATATTTCAACAGTTATAAACGTTCCTCGGACCTCCGGACAAAACTGAACATTTCGCAAAATATCACTTCCGGAGTTTTTCAATCTATAAAGGGAGATGAAGTGGTATAGGTGTCTATAGAAAATTGAACGGCCTTGATGTTTGGTTGTTGGTTCTGTATATTTCAGACGGTGAGTTTATACACGAAATAATAATAATATGACATCGTAATAATACGACGACAATATTTTTTCTAATACTATTTTGAATGGAAAACGTAGTGGGTATAATAATAATAATAATAGAATACGATTATTGTGCGATAATGTAGCGACCTACCGGCCATGACGACCGTGATGCGGATGGTGGCGGTACACTCATTGCAATGCACTCACACCAATGATCGTTTACGACTAACGCAAGGGCGGAGATTAGATATTGCCTATATTTTGCTCCTTTGAAACCGCTATTTACGAGTACCCTTAATATATCAGATAAATAGAGTTGGACCGGGAACACTACCCTGCGGTACACCGCAGTCAATCGACATGTATTCACCAGTTATTTCGGAAATTTCAACTTTTTGTTTCCTATTTTTTGCAAATAACTTTTAAACCAATTCAAGCACGAGTACCAAACGAAGGAAATATAAATCAATAAGCGTGGAATGGCCATAAATGCACGTGCATAATATATCGCTTAAATTAAACCTCTCACGTAGGCGTTGTCGCCAAAATTTGCGAGGCTTGGGATGAACGGATTTTAATTTTGAAAACAGATATGATTTTGTACACAAATTGTCTGGGTTTCGGCCGAGGCGGTTTGCGATACACGAAAAATCGAATGTGCTGTTCGGTATACAAACAATGGAAATTTCTATTTTCTTTCAACAATCCGCACGCCAACGATAAAGTTGTGTATCGAAAATTGCCTCGATCGAAACCAAGAATATCGTGTTGCATTATTTACGGACGGACAAACATTGACGTGTGCCTGCGAGTGCGAGTTGCCACTCCGGCAGACGGCGGCTAAAGGCGCCCGCCCGGCGCATCGCCGTCAACAGTGTACGGATAAGAAAGCCAGTTGTAATATGATAACAAACTGTAAAATAACCATCCATTTAGCTTTATTTAAA